AACTTTCTGACAGTAAGAGCTGTTCAACCGTGGAATGGTCTCCCTTGGGAGGTGCTGGACTTTCCTGCTTGGAGGTTTGCCAGCAGAGATAGGATGGTAATCTGTCAAGCAAGCTTTAGCTGTGATTCCTGCATCGCAGGGCCTGGACCAGATGGCCCCTGGGGTCCCTTCCAAATATCATAGAATCATAGAATTGTAGAGTTGGCAGGGAACTGAAGGGTCATCTAGTTCAACCCCCTGCAATGCAGGAAACTCAACTAAAGCATCCATGACATATGGCCATCCAACCTCTCCTTCAGCCACCAATGAAGGAGAGTCTACAACCTCCTAAGGGAGACCATTCCAATAGAATTCTAAGATTCTATACCTAGCCTACTGTACAAAAATCTTCCCACTTGTGTCTCTGGTCCTGACCACCACTCTCATGTGACACCTGGAAGGTAGCCCAGAAGAGAATGTGGCCCTTGACGTAAAAAGAGAGAGGAAAAGGTACCCTTCCTCCTTTAAGGCATGAGAAATGATGTAAAGTTTCCCAAGGAAGAGCCTCACTAGCTCAAAACATTTGAATTATTTTTATTAGAAGTGTTTTTCTGAACACCTTTGCTGTCTGTAAAACAGATGAAATGTGTGTTGGGATTGATACACTAGGTGTGCTAGAGCTACAGTCCAATGCTCACTTGCTCCACAGTAGGACATACTCCTGAGTAAATATGCACATGATTGTCAGGACTGTGGCTTTTGTCTGCAACACACACACACACACACACACACACACACACACGGGTGGGGAGATTATAACAATGATCACCCTAGGAAACTAGTCCAGCTCAATCTTCATCTCTATTATACTACATTCTTTTTTTAAAATGTGGCCTTAGTTGCATGTAATAGAAAGTTCTATTTGGTAGGTAGTAAAGCTGAAGCAAAAATAAACCAATTCTTGCTTGCAAAAGACTTAATAGGGACCTGTAGAGCTAGAGCTTTATTGCTAAAGACTTTGACTTTTAAAACACACACATCAGCAGTTTTCAATCTACACATTCCCAAGCTGCTAATGAATCTTTCAGAAACCCATCGGCTAAATGAAATAGTCATTCCTGTGACTGTCAGTCAAGTCTTTTCACCTGAACTATTATAAATACAAGGTTTCATTTTAGATGGTCTTTTGTTCTGCTTTTTCATGGCAATCTATTTGTTCAGTGCTGTTTTGCTTTCCTGAGCTCTTCCTAGGCCTGTTATTCGTAGCCAACAAACACAACAGATGTAATTAAACTTAATTAAAAGGGTAACGAGGAACATATTTTGTGTACAAATCCCCAAACACTGAATTGCTGCGTATTGTTTTTAAGAAAGCAGTGGCAACATTAATTACCTATCATGCTCAATTTACAAATTAGAAAGAAGCTACTGATTTTCCTTACCCAATTGGCTATTCTGTTGGGATTCGCAGGATGCTGAGTAAGTCTGCAGGCTTCGACAGGCTGATGCAATACTCTGTGAAGTGCTGGGTCAGAGTGACTCAGCAGGAATGTGATTGGCTATCACCTGTTTTAAAAGGAAAGCCTGTTCAACAGTAATTGTGGTGTGGTGTGGTTGTGCTGTGGTGTGCTGGTGGTGGTGAGTATTCGTTTGCCTTAAGGTGCAGGTACTCTGTATGAACTGCTTTTGTAAATACTTGTATATAGCTCACATTACAAAGACTGCACTAAAGAACCTGGGACTCTGAGCGTTCTGCTAAAAGCGCCGCAAGGAATTCGCGACATATTCCCCCCCTTTTTTCGGTCACCTGCAAAATTGATATGAAGTCCTTTTACTGAAGGTTCTGAGTCATATAGTTCTGACTCATAAATCTCTGTTGAGCCCACAAGTAACAGCATTTGATTAATAATTGACATGCTCCTCATTTTAATGGCTGCTGTGCTAAAGATTGCTAATTAAATGGTTGCTAATTAAATTATTTTCTCCCTTTGATGAAATAGCATTTAAGATCACAAAATGTCATAGCTCATCCTCACATTAAATAATCAATGCCTGGCAGATGCTTTGAAAACAGTTGGGAAGAAATCTTTTTTAAAAAAAAAATCAAGGAGACTGCACAGTGGTGGTTATGATCTACTGGCTAAAATAGAAACAGATAGCATGGCTATTTAATATAATTTCATTATTTTTAAAGGGTCAAACCATTTATATTTAAACTCCTGATAAACTGAATCTATGCGAAATAAGGACTAGCAAAGTTGCTTTCATTTTAACAAATGAGGATTCTGTATTACCAGGCTTTTACAAACAATTAAGCTGTGGGACGCGGGTGGCGCTGTAGGTAAAAGCCTCAGCGCCTAGGGCTTGCCGATCGAAAGGTCGGCGGTTCGAATCCCCGCGGCGGGGTGCGCTCCCGTTGTTCGGTCCCAGCGCCTGCCAACCTAGCAGTTCGAAAGCACCCCCGGGTGCAAGTAGATAAATAGGGACCGCTTACTAGCGGGAAGGTAAACGGCGTTTCCGTGTGCGGCTCTGGCTTGCCAGATGCAGCTTGTCACGCTGGCCACGTGACCCGGAAGTGTCTCCGGACAGCGCTGGCCCCCGGCCTCTTGAGTGAGATGGGCGCACAACCCTAGAGTCTGTCAAGACTGGCCCGTACGGGCAGGGGTACCTTTACCTTTAAGCTGTGAATATCTAAGGTATTGTTATGAAGTTTATAAAGCCTATTTAAAATGATCTTTTTGTGGGGGAGGTTAAGCATTAAACTGGATTTCTTATGGATATTTTAACTTGGATGTTCTTGGTAATATTTAAATCACAAATGACAAGAAGAACAACATAAGAAATCCATTTCCCATTTTAAAACAATCATATTAGAACATAATAAGTACCTCCTTTTGTCTGTCTTAATTCCTTGCATGGCTCTGGATTTTAGCTCTGACCAAAGGTTTAAAACAATTAGTGATGGATCTCTTTAATAACCCCAAATTGACATCTGCTAGTCTAGCAAACATGAAAATATAACCCAAATCATTATTGTTAGTTTTATTCCTGCACTTAATCTTGTAAAAAGCCAAACCATACCCATTCAAAGTTAACAAGCCAGTAAAAGTCAACAGTTGCACACAGTAGATCTCCAGCCATAGATTTCCATGGCTAAATCTGAAAGTCTGCTGATACCATGTAAAGCTGAAAGAGTACAGCAGCTACAGATACACTAGTAGAATAGCTACTTCCTCCAGCTATTGCTTTGCTGCAAGTAGACACTTCACTAGTCCTTAGTTCTAATAAATTCTTTGGTTTCAGTTTGGAAAGCTCTGCAGTAGAGGTTGCTCTAAGGTCCCATGTATAATACATGGCACTGACTTTCCGAGTCATTGGGCAGAATTAGAAAAGAAGAGGTTAACCTAGATAGTTAGCTTTCTAGCAGCACATACACTACAAGGGCAAAGAGACCATTGCCCCAGTATAATCAACCACTTTCCTTTCTTAATGGGCAATTACAGGTAACTGACAATGAAAAGATGACTTTTGCACTTGTAAATTCAGTTGCTTTGATATTTTGAAGCTTTCCCCAGGAAAATAGGCTCTTTCTGGCTAATTGAAGGACCTTACTGAGTTTTCTTTCCCACTCCTGGTCTCTGTGGTTTCATTTGTGAATTGGTACAATGACTCACACTAATTTAGATAATAAGGCACTATGGACAGCCATATTATATGGACAAAATGCCTACCCATTCTAAATGGGTTCATTTCTTACAATGCTTTGCTAATTATTGCAGTCATTATTACCTTATCTATTTTTCCCCTTCTCACAAATGACCTAGCTTTTAAAACTAATAAAAATGGTATCAGATAGGGAAATACAAAGAAGAACCAAGGACCCACTACAAAAATGATTGCATCAATTGGACTAAATATGGATGAGAACTTCAACTCACAGTATGAACACATTTAGACATGATTACTCTGCGTTTCTGCATATACATTTTACTTGACATAGTTGAAAACTGCTGCTACGCCAAAGGACCAACATGCTCAGTTTACTGAAAAGACATAAAAATTCCAGTCTATGAGGCAAAGCAGGGTCTCTACATACTTCTTCTTAGCCTTGCAGAACAACTCAATGAATCTTTTAATTTTTTTATCAAACCTGATTTTTTAAAAAAAATTCCCATCCACCTGCATAGACATCACCAGCTGTACCGAGCTACCCCTTCTTCAGGAGGATTTGCAGCAGGTGGTGAAAAATATTTCTCTTCCATTCCTAGAAGCAGGCTTATTCCTGGGCCAGATGTGCATGTTTCCCAAAGGAAGCCAGCGCCAATGAAATAAATGATTATTTCTGCATTCCAAAGAAATAATTGCGCATACCCTCCCACAAATGCACGAGACCATGTAGTTTGCATAAATGATTAAAAGTGTGTTTCTATCTTTCTACGGATATGCTTGCGCAGGAGGTGATGGAAATGTTTTCATATGTGAGTCCTTCAATTTTGCCTCTAGGCAAAAGAAGGTTTACTGACAAACTCAAAACATAAAGCATATGCATAAACAAGCATTAAAGTGTTATAGGAGGCAGGTGCAATCTTTGGCACTGAAAGAGAAATTGAAAATCAAGAGAAGTATCTCTGCTGCTCCCAGCTATTAGCCATATAGACATGGTGGATATGGATGCCAGAAGTATGGAGCTTCTCTACTGATATGCCACCAGCCATCCAATCTGAAACTGTGGTGCCATAAAAATGACCTTAACTTGCAGAAACGTTCTTAGATTTTAATTTAAAAATTGGCACAATCTTCTAAATGCATTTCATATCATAATCCAAAATAGGTGGGTTTTTTTAAGGGAAAGATTATCCAGCTGGTGACATCTTCTATGTTTTCATATCCTCTTTTTTAATTCGAGTCAAGACAATATCTAGGCTGTTGAGTAGAGTAAACTACTGTGGCAATATGTAAATTGTATAAGGTGGCAACATAAGAATGGAACAATCTGATTTGCTCAGCAAACAGTGACTTACAGAGAGTAATATTTGGATGGCGCTGTGAATGACCTCTAGGTATTGGAAGTCAATGATGCAGCCTGTCACAGAGACATAGGAAAAATCATCTAACATCCCAGGAGCTGAAGGACGCACCACTCTTCGTATGCAGCCTGGTCCATGTTCTCGCCACCAGGATCGGTGCATAGAGATGTTAAAAGTCATGAGATCAGTTTCCTAACAAACAAAGAGAGAAGAAGGGTGAAATCTTTCTGTTACAGTGGACCTCATGCTTTTCTGACATATAGACCCAGTGCTGATGTAAAGTTTCCTGATCTCTCACATGAAATTGAGAACATATGCTAAATTTGCATGCTCTCTGACACTTTAACACCATAAAACACACAAAGTCTGTACTGATGGCAACCCCAACAATGGTTAATGCTGAGAAAATTTCCAAACCCATTATAATTCCTGGTTTTGAATGCTGACTTGAAACATTAACCATGGCTAGCATTAATCTCAGCACATACCTAATACTGTACTATGGTTAATACAGAGAACTAAAGTGAGAGAACAACAAACATATGAACAGGAAACACTGCATCTGCATTAGCTGTACTCAGGTGTTCAGTAAGGTGTGGGGAACCTTTGGCCCTCCAGATATTGCTGAATGACAACTCCCACCATCCTGGGCCAATGGCAATGTTGACTGGGGCTGATTGGAACTGTAATTCAGCAACCTCTGAAGCAGCACATCTGCTGTAGACTACAGAGCTGCCAAATGGCCATCTAAAGTTCTTCTTTTGAATATTTGGCAAGCACTTTTTTGCTTTTGCTTTTAGAAAGTTGCTGAAAACATTTCCTTCTCCTCTGTTGTGGTCTTTTATCCTTTATTTCTTTGCTACTTGTTCCATGCATGCATGCATGCATCCATCTCTCTCTCTCTCTCTCTCTCTCTCTCTCTCTCTCTCTCACACACACACACACACACACACACACACAGTCACACACACACACACACACACACACACACACACACACACACTTGCATTACTGCTTCCTATTCTCTCCTCTTCCCCTCATGAGCTGGCTAACTGGGTTATTTTTACATTTTGTAGAGTGCCCATTGTGTCATAGGTGTTAAATAAATTATATGAAATGATGATAATGATCTGCTGGAATAAAGCCCATTGAAGAAAATGAACCCTTCAACAGTGAAGTGTTCAGATCAGATGGCCTCATTAGAATGATAGATTGACTCATTAGATTCTCATCACTTAATAGTGCATTGTAGTGCTATTAACAACGGAATATTTCTCCTCCCTTGCACAGTGTCATTAGTATTGAGAAGCTGGATATAAACTACTCTTAACTATTCCCTTTGGTGGCTGACTATTCCCACAATAATGCAGAAACAGCAATGCAGAGCAACAACCACCATAAGACATCTATATGCTGCCATTGCATTGCTGACGATGTAGGGATCACCCTAGTACAGTACTGAAAATGGGGAAATGGAAACATTTAAAATCCAAAACATTCACATCCATAACAAACAATGGCCCCTGGAGTGCATGTGGACTACACCTCACACATGTGTGCTCAATTTGATATACTCCTCCTTCTGGTGGTTCACTCATAATAATAATAATAATAATAATAATAATAATAATAATAATAATAATAATATCTTTATTGTCATTGGCCCCCTCTCGGGGACAACGAAATTACTTGGGCTGCTCCATCCACCCAGGTAGGGCACTCCACACAAAATCAAATCAACTATAAAAACACTAATTAAAACAATACAGTATAAAACAGCAAGGAAGATTAGATGACTTTCAAAGTCCAGGCTTCCCATTCAGGGCCGAGATCGCTCTGGGGAAGAAGCTGTTCTTAAGACGGCTTGTTTCTTGTCTTCATCGTCCTGTATCTCCGTCCCGACGGCAGGAGCTCGAAGAGACAGTGACCAGGATGCGATGGATCTTTTTACTATGTCCAGTGCCTTCCTATGGCACCTTGTGGCATAAATCTGCTCTAAGGTGGAGAGTGGGCAGCCAACAATGCTCTCTGCTGCCTTAACAACTCTGCACAACCCCAACCTGTCCCGGGTAGTACAGCTTCCGTACCACACACATAAGCCATAAGTGAGCACGCTCTCAATGGCACAGTGATAGAAGGCAAGCAGCAGTTTCTGCGGAAGATGGTTTTCCTTAGAATTCTCAAAAAGTACAGTCTCTGCTGCGCCTTCTTCACAAGCCCCCTTGTGTTGACACTCCAGGACAGATCCTCTTGTAATTCAATGCCCAAAAATCTGAACGTTGTTACCCTCTCCACACAGACCCCATCAAGCAAAAGTGGCTGGACATTGCTCTTCTGTCTCCTGAAGTCCACCACAAGCTCCTTTGTCTTCCTTGTATTTATGAGCAAGTTGTTAGCTCTGCACCACTCTGTCAGCCGCTCCACCTCATCTCTATAGTCCGTTTCACCCTCCCTTTCAGAGATGAGCCCAATCACGGTTGGAGGAGAATTTAGTTTGGTCTGCAGTTTTAATTGCAATTCTTGGCTCAGCCCATACCAAAGTGCATAGAAATGTGCAACTGAAAACAATATACATTTAGAAATATGCAGACAGAGATTTAAAAAAATTGTATTTAAGTCAATATTTAAATAAAAATTTCCATTTTGGATTTTTTAAACATCACAGGTTAATGCAGAAATGAGATGGGACAGACTTATGAAGGAACACATGTAAAATTGGCATTGGCCAGAGATAGAGTGATATATCAATCCCTACTCAATAAACCTTTAAAGTTTGTTAAGACTAATCTGAAAATCATAATATCCTACGATAATGTTCAAAGTATCATGGTAATTAGGTCAAGGACTTTTTACTACATTCTTTTTGCTCAATATGTAACCAAGGGAAAATTACACCAATTAAAAAGAAATATTGGTCATTGGAAAGATGGGGTGCCATCGTTATAGATTAGGATTCTTTGTACTTAGTTTGAATATGCATATGGTCAGATTGTTATTCTAATCGTTTGTCAGCATTAAACTTACCTTTAATGAAAAATTAAACTGAAAACCCTCAAGGGGAAAAATCATATTCAGGCTACACTGCTAAACACACTTATAGCTATTTATTTCAAAATACATATATGTAGGACTGAGATGTCAAAATCACACTTTTTAAAAATTGTTTTAAAAAATGCAACATTCAACATTTGTATCAAGGCTACTGTTCTAAGAAAGATTATGCAACCTTACACATACACATACACAAAAGCGGAAAACAAAACTGAACAACATTTTAAAGCATATAATGAAGTCTGATATCCATTAGAAAAACTCATCATCATTAATTCAGTCTGCAACAAGATGAATATCATGTCCATAACACTGATACTACTAACCCCCAATGTCACTTGTCTACCATTAACATTATAAACATTAGTCAATGATAGGCACATATATTATACACAAGACCTTTAAACAAATTTAAGAAGACTCCCAAGTTAGAAACATAAACACTTTTCTCCTCCACATCTCCATCACATTAGAAGACAGGATAGTGACTGATCATATTCAGCAACTGCAAAGAACCAGCTGAGTATTACCGTAATTCAAACAAGACGTGTAGTATTAGGCTGCGTCAAATTACTGCCATGTCCGGTGAAATATGGGTACATGGACAGTGAATTTGGTGAAAGGGCATGTTGTACCAAAAAAACCCACAGCCAAGGCTACTAAGAAAGGAGGCCAAAGCTAGATATCTTGGGTTCTCAAAACCCTTATCTTCACAATTCCAGAACTATCTCTGGAAATATCAACTCTACTGGTGTTGAAAGTGCCATCATGAAGGGTAAGTGAAGATAGGGTTGCCAGGGACCCTGAATGTGTGATGTAGCTGAACTTTCCATCAAAGAATGTGAACTCCAACACTTAGACGGCCACTGCAAGAAACAGAATTTTGGCTTACATCAGGGGTGCTTTTCAATCCAGAGGTCACATTCCCTTCTGAGGCAAAAATGGGCAAAGCAACAATGGTGAATCTTACCTTTGCACAGTAGGCTAGTTTCTACACACACCTTGCATGATGATGATGATAATGATAATTTCTTTGTACCCCACCCATCTGGCTGGGTTTCCCCAGCCACCCTGGGTGGATTCCAACAAAGATTAAAAATACATTAAAACATCAATCATTAAAAACTTCCCTAAGCCATGCACTCTTATCCCCCATTGGGGCAAGCTAGAAGCATCCTCAGAATTCAGCAACACATTTGGGTCAGGCATGAACACTCGAGGAAGGGTGCAAGACAAGGCCAGCTAGTGGCATGGGAGTGGTGTGTAGCGGTGGAGGGATGTGGCCTGGGCAGGGTGCTGAAGACCAGATTGAAAGGCCTGCTGGAAGGCTGCATTTGGCTCCCTAGGCCTGAGATTCCTTGTCTCTGGGCTACATGGACTCTCGATCTCATCCAGAAGCAGTATTTTTTAATTCTTATGAGCAGATACCATCCATCTCTGAGCCCGCAGTTCTCTTTCCCTCTTCGTCTACTCTTAATCCCACTGAAGTAAATTGTAGTTTTAAGATTGGGTGGACTGCCCTATGTTTATGTGGGAATCCTATTTTAGTGGAACAAACTCGTTGGCTACTTGACAGAATACATATGGCGGAAAGCTAACTCACAGAATTCAGTGATAGCCTCCCCTTATGCCACATAGCTCCTCTTACTTTAGCACACCATTATCCCACTGGGTAAACTCATTTGCAGATGACCATAATATGAGATGAGATGCTGTTAAAAATGCTGGGAAATTATTCAAACATTTTTGGTGTATTTCAAAGAGCTTTTGTATCCTGCCCCTATTCCCAGTCCAACAAAAAGCATCATGTTCCACTTTGTTTTCTTGCTTTCTACGTCTTTACTCATTCTGATCTTCCCTGAGACTGTGATAAATTAGCTTGTGTCTCTGTGCCACTTTCCATTTAAGTAATTTAGAGGAAGGATGTCTATTCTAAACTAAACTATAGCACATAATTGGTAAGAACGGCCAGTGACCAATGAGACAAATAATATTATGAAATGTAGTGGAGACCAGTGCTTTTTTTCCTAAAAAAATGTTTAGGGGTACTCTCATTTTCCTATTCCTATTGAAATACTGCCCCTCAATGAGGTCAAACTTAGATTTAAAAAATGTTTAAGGGTATGCGTACCCCCAGAATA